TATTTGTCATAGTGTTCATCGATGACATTCTAGTGTATTCGAAAAGTGAGGAAGAGCATGTTGAGCACTTGAGATTGGTATTGCAAACTTTGAGAGAAAAAGAGTTGTATGCCAAATTCTCAAAGTGTGCCTTCTGGTTGGAGGAAGTACTATTTCTGGGGCACATGGTGTCCAGGAGGGGAGTAGAAGTGGATCCTAAGAAGATTGAAGCTATTGTGAATTGGACTCCACCTAAGGATGTGCCGGGAGTACGAAGTTTTATGGGGTTATCTGGGTACTACCATTGATTTGTGGAAGGGTTTTCTAAAATAGCCTCCCTATGTCTAAATTATTGAGGAAGGAAACCCCATACATATGGATGGAAGAGTGACAGGAGAGTTTTGAAGAATTGAAGTGGAAGCTGACTTCAGCCCCAGTTCTGACATTATAGGTGGAGGGAGGTGAATATATATGTGGTATACAGTGACGCCTCATATCTCGGTTTGGGTTGTGTCTTTATGCAGAATGGTAAGGTGATTGCATATGCATCACGCCAGTTGAGGCCACACGAGTGCAACTACCCAACTCATGATCTAGAGTTGGCATCTATCGTATTTGCCTTAAAATTGTGGAGGCATTACCTTTATGGTGAAACGTTTAAAATCATGAACGACCACAAGATTTTGAAGTATTTGATGGACCAAAAGGAATTGAATAATCGACAAAGAAGATGGTTGGAGTTGTTGAAGGACTATGACTGCACAATTGATTACCATCCTGGTAAGGCAAATGTGGTCGCCGATGCACTCAGTGGGAAGGGAAGGTTGTCAGAATTAGTGGAAATGAGAGCTTTGGGTGTGGAGTTTCAGGTGGAGGACATCACCACCCTAATTGCACACCTAAGCATCCGACCACTACTCCATGATCAAATTAGAGAAATTCAACAAGTAGATCCTGAGTGTATCGAGAAGTTGAAGCAAGTTAAAGCGGGGGATGAAAATGAATTCATGGTGGAAGAAGGCATACTGAAATGGTTTGGTCATATGTGGGTTCCATAGTCGGGTGATTTAAGACGAAGAATTCTGTAGGAAGCCCATTCATCCATGTATGCCATGCGCCCGGGGGTCACAAAGATGTATAACACGATTAAAACACATTTTTGGTGGCCAGGAATGAAGCGAGAGGTGGCTGAACATGTTCAAGCTTGTCTAGTTTGTCAAAAGACTAAGGCGGAGCATCATGCACCAGCCTGACTTTTACAGCCGCTGCCGATTCCGGAGTGAAAATTTGAGAGGATCACGATGGATTTTGTGACCGGATTTCCTTCTACCAGGGAAGGAAAAGATGTTATTTGGGTAATTGTGGATTGAATGACTAAAGTGGCACATTTTATCCCCATTCGATTCAAGCCAAGTATGGAAGAGTTAGTGAGGTTGTACCTAACTAATATTGTACGACTTCATGGTGTTCCTCTATCCATTGTCTCAGACCAATATCCCAGTTTCACATCACACTTCTGGGAGAGCTTGCAGGAGGCGATGGGTACGAGATTAATTTCTCCATGGCTTATCACCCTCAGACAGACGAGCAGTCTGAGCGTACGATACTTACTTTGGAGGAGTTATTACGAACCTATGCAGTGGAAACAGGTGGACCTTGGACGAATTTACTACCCTTGGTGGATTTTGCCTATAACAACTCATACCATAGCAGTTTACAAGAGGCACCATTTGAAGCTTTGTATGGAAGGAAATTTCGTACCCCACTATGTTGGGATGTTGAGGGTACTCGGGTTCTTACCGGACTGTAAATGGTCCAAGATACGGAGGAGAAGGTGATCAAAGAGAGATTGCGGGTAGCCCAAGATCGCCAAAAGTTATATGTCGATAAGAAGGCTCGAGAAGTTAGCTATGATATGGGAGAGAAGGTGTTCTTAAAGGTATCACCATGGAAATGATTGATGAGGTTTGGAAGAAAGGGTAAATTAGCGCCTTGTTACATTGGTCCTTACAATGTTATCTCCAAAGTAGGACCTGTGGCATATGAGCTCGCATTACCCCGTGAATTTGAGAAAATTCACAACGTATTCCACGTGAGTATGTTGAAAAAGTATCATATCGATCCATCTCATGTGATACAACCCGAAAGGGTGGAATTGGAGCCAGATTTGACCTATGAAGAAAAACCTGTAAGCATTGTGGATCATCAGGCACGTGTGCTAAGAAGCAAGCAAATCCCAATGCTCAAGGTTATCTGGGATAAACAGGAGGAGGAGGTTGCAACCAGGGAAACCGAGGAGAGTATGAAGAAGAAGTACCCCTAGCTAGTTGAAGCTTATGCTCAACGTATGTCGACCTAGTACCTCATGTGGTGATCGATACGAGCCAGTTACGAGCTGGGTTTATTGAGTTTGAAACTGATCAAAGAAATTTTAGTTTGTCTAAAATAATGTTGGGGCAGATTTATCAGAAGATTTCATTTGAAAATAGTTTCCGAATTAAAACTACATAACGGTGAATTTTACGAAAAAATCGGTAAAAACGTGTTTTATTTATCAGAAAGGGATTAAATGGATTCTTTTGTCAATCAGTCCATTTACAAGAATTTTGTAATGATTTTAATGAAGGGAAATGGACTTAGAGTTAAAAATATTTTTAATCACAATTGGGTTATTTACGGGGTCGTTTGGATGGAGTATTTGTATGAGTTATTTGGGTTCAAATAACTCACAATGAGTTATTTGGACGCAAATAACTAGTTTGGCAGCGTTTTACTGAAATGAGTTATTTGTACAGTGAGTTATTTACAAATAACTCAAAACGAGTTATTTGAAATAACTTATACCCATGTGTTATTTCGAAATAACTCGTTTTATCACTCTGCTTTTACCAAACACCACATGTCAAATACCACATTTGCATGGTTCCACCAAACGAGATACTTTATTTCAATTACCATTGAAATAACACTGAAATACCACATGAAGAATAAATGAGTTATTTGACTCTACAAATACCACATTAACAATTAACCCATCCAAACGACCCATACAATTATTTGCATCGAGGTTATTTCGTGAAATTGTTGATGATTTTTGATGAGGCGTTGTGATATGGTATAGCTGAGTAACTTTAATGGAGAATGAGATGATTTATGTGATTTGATATTGGATGATGGGATATTTGATTGTTGGAAACGTCGAGTTGATAATCGACGGGAAATATATATATGGACCGGCTAATCAGTGAGACTACATTGATACCGGATTGCTTGTGATGGATGAGAAATTGGAAATGGTTTTATTCATGATCATATTAATTCACATAGATGTGGAAAGGGCCTGCACTTACCCTCACTCATAGAGTGGGTAGATTTAGCTCGCTCATGCGATTGATTGTTTTGGTTGCATGAGCACCACGAATGAGTGTTGTGGTTGAAAACCACGGATTGAGTGTTGTGGTTGCATGAGCACCAGAGATGATGATTTGCTCGAGCGGGGTAAGTGTATGGTGACCTTGGCACCATTAATAATTACACGGAATTTTCATATCATGCATTGATTATGTGTTCGTAAAATTATGTGATTATCTTATTGGATAAATTGATTTGGTGATGATGAGTTGGTGGATTCGATATATTGACCTATAATTTATATATGATGATTTAGGATAGCATCTAGAGTACTAAATTACGATTGATTATGACTGATTAGCTGATTTCCCTCCCAAAATTAGGTCGTGGGAAAGATCCACACACACAGCTCAGTTACTGACCCACGTCTGTTTTCAGGCTCGCAGGTGCAACTAGGATTGGACTATTGAGGCTGCCCTATCCTCATGTACTACCATCATGAGGTAGTTTGGAACACTGTTCTGTCATGGTCACCTAGGATTTCTGATTTGAGTGTTTTGAATAATAAACCCACGTTTTGTAAAATTCTATAAGTGGGTTGGGGTTCGAATAATGAATTTGTATGATAACGATTTATGTGTTTGTTTAATTGTCGGACATGATATTTGAGATGATTGACTTCAACCAGTAACACCGAGGATTTGGCTGCGCGGTTGAACCATGGGTTCAACCACAGAGATTTTGGGTGGGGTGTTACAGCAGGCTTGCGCGGGAGATGCGAATGGAGCCTGTCCATCAGAGGATGGTACCGTATGTGAAGGCCCACGATCGGTTCGAGTGTTGCAATACATGTTGCGGAGAGAAGCATTCTTCACCAGTATGAGGATGTGTTGTATTATGAGTGGTGGAGAATGTCACTACTCGGAATGTCGTGACGGTGCCGACCGTTTGTAGAATGCTGCCATATGGTTGTCTTGCCACGAGAGCGGTAAAGAGGGTGACTGTAGCGTTAAGGCGTTGTCTGCTTGTGCATCGTTCTGGCCTAGTCAGGATGTGACTGTGACGGGGATCGTTGCAAGCGAAGGCACAACTGGTCAGGGGTTATTGCCGCCTCCCTGATGAGCACAAGGTAGAGCGAAACCAGTTGACCTGCGTATGTGGAGAGGCTGGTCTTAAGGGTTGCGTGCAACTCAAGACGCCACACGGACTTCAGAAGTCTCGTCTCGTGACAATACCCAGCGGGTTGGGTTGGAATTGAGTTTTCCAAACCCAGTAAATTTTACCCTGAATTTTTTTTCTTGACGAATAAACCCATGAATTTGAGTTTGTTTTGACAAAATTCGAGTCAACCCGACTCATTGCCATCCTACCCGCCACGACTGAGATGATCACCGTGGATCCTATCATCCTGCAGACCGTTCCCACCGTCGCCACCATATGGAGACCAAAACTCCAGCGAGAACCATATAGGTTTCTCACTAGATCCGCTCCCACCCTCTATCCTGGAATTTGGGCCAATTGGCCAAACTAGCTAGGAGTTCGGGCTAGGTCTAGTTGCACTTTAATGGATCCCTAAAGCCCAAACCTTTCTGCTTTAGCCGGGCTGCCAGGATGGGCTATTTTTAAGGAAAAATTCCACGCGACAACTGAAAAGGTAAAGGAAAAGTCCATTCGAAAACCGTAAATCTCTGATTATGGTAAAAACTCGAAGCAAGCTTGAATGAGTTGCAGCTGCTGAACAAATTATTCCAAATGACTACATCGACCCCATCGGTCCTAAATCTCTCTGTTCTTTCTTCTTCCACCTCCGTTGATCTTCGGCCGGCCATCACTCCGAAATTCCTTCCATCCAATCCAATCAACTGCCCTGCTTTTACCTCCCTCCCAAAACCCTCACCTCGTTCACCAATTCCTCCTCGGCTGAGAACAGCAGCAACTCCCATGGCCGCCGAGCAAAGCGGAAGCGCCGTCGACAACCCCGATGGAATCATGAAGCTACTGTTCGTGGAGATGGGAGTCGGCTACGACCAACACGGGTACCCTTTTCTCCATTTCTTCCCTTCTCTGTTTGTCATTTTCTTTTCCCTGGAAAGAACGGTTGCTTTAGGTTGTCAGAAATTGCGCCGAGTGATGTCAAATTGATCGCGGCCTGAAACTGTGAATTGCAGGCAGGATATAAATGCTGCGGCGACGCGCGCTTGCAGGGACGCTATCTCTTCCAATTCGATTCCTGCTTTCCGTAGAGGTATGCATGGTTTATCATCTCAATTAGGGCCGATTTTGGTTTTGCGGGTGCACTTTGTTTCTGTTGTAGCAGAATGGAGAGTCTTCAATCCGTGATTTTGGGTTGAGTTATGGTCTTATGGGTTTGATGTTATTGTTTGCTTTTTGGTTGGTCTATCTAACAATTCTATCACAATCGTATCACTTTATAATCCGGAATTTGGTTTTAGGGTCTATTCCTGGAGTCTCATTTGAGCAAATGAAACTACAGATCAAACTGGGAGTCCCACATTCTCTGCAGCAGTACGTGGATATAGAGCGGGTGAAATCCGTGTTCCCATAGTAAGTAGCCATTTCCATACACTAAAGTTAATCTGCTAACTTGAAAATTCGTTAGCAGATACTAACTGATATCTAAAATATATGAATTAGTATCCAAGTATTAAAGAATCTAGAGAGCATAGACTAGTATTCAAAGTTTGCTAACTGATATCCACCATGAATCAACTATTATCCCAAATTCACAAACTAATATCTAGACAATACAGAATAGTATCCATACAACACATAATTAGGATTCAAATAACACATAAGAGTATCCAGATAACACATAAAAGTATCCATATTGAATACTAGTTGGTTGATTATGGATATTAGTTGGTATCTACTATTTGGATACTAGTTTATGATATTTTGAATACTAGTCTGTGCTATTTAGATACTCAATAGATTTGGATATTAGTTCATACATTTTGGATATTAGTTAGTATATACTAACGAATTTTCAAGTTAGCAGAATAACTAGGCTGTTCCCATATATACATAGGCCAGCATGATTTTGCGTTGTAGCCTGTAGGTTCATTTGATGTATTTCTATTCCAGTTTCTTTCCTTCCCCAAAACAATTCCGTTTGGGTTCTCTCCAAAGCTATGTACTTGTGTCGACAAAATCAAGGCCAATTTGAAGCTATAGTCAATTCGGGACACCATGCTTGATTTTATATCTGGAGATTAGAGCTGAACTTGTTTGAGCTTTTCAGCTTTCTCGAGGAACTTTGTGCTGCCCTGATAGCTTGGATTTAATGATAGAGCTATATGAGTAGTCAAGAGGGTATAGAGAGTATTCCTGCTTCTGTTATTCTTATAAGTTTTCCCTTGTTTAAAATTGCAGTGGGAAGATTGTGAGTGTTGAAGTCGTTGATGGAGGACTGATATGCTCAAGTGGTGTACATGTAGAAGAAATGGGTGATAAGAATGATGACTGCTACATTGTGAATGCTGCTGTTTATGTTGGCTACTAGTTTTTCCTTTCCCTTTCCAAGGTTTCTTCGAGGTTAGCATCCTCTTGTTGTTGACCTGGTTTAGTTTTCTTGTAAAATACCCCAACTTCTATCAGCTTTTCCGAAGACTAGCTTGGACCATCTGTAGTCTGTTCCTGCTTGTATTCTTATGTGCTGTATTCTATCTTGACGGTTTCATCAGTTTTAACGATTTTTCTATGCACTATGATTATATTGGTTCTCTCGTTAGATGACCCATTAATTTAGTTCCTTAAGAACTACATTAGGACTGCTGAATTGGAACCTTTAGTCTTCTATTATCTACTAATGGTAGTCAATTTGACGAATTGATAGCTGAGAAGAATGTTATTGAGAATGCATTGCTATTATATAACACTTTGGGACAAACTTATTAGATCTTACTGCAGTCTCCCTGTGGCCTTCAGGCAAGGTATATGACACATTACAACCAAACATCATCTTTTACAGACTTTCAATTCTCACTTCTAACCATTATCACTTATGTGATTACAGATGTTATCAGCACTTTTCAATCATTACCTATCTATTGACAAATTATTGTCTTTAGGAAACCAATCACTTTGCAAATCAAACTATACTCCTTATTGACGCAACCCCGTATGCTTAATACGAGGGATATGCGACGGTGGAGAGATGAATGATGAAGGCAAACCAAAAACTATTAGGAGAAGACTAAGTTCTATTGTTGTGTTTATGATCACATGATGAGAGCTGCATAAAGGAGCTGGTTCCAGGTATCAGGCAGTCCAGGCAAGCACCAGTGGCTGCAATCTGTGCCTCCACCACCACCATAAGCAGCAGGGTGAGCATCTTTCCTCAACTGCGACAAAGTCGTTATGTCTAGTAGATATACTTGTTTCTTCATTGTCATCAACACTTTGTTCACAATTGCAGCAGCTGGAGGTGAACCGGCGGGATAAATTGACCCGGATAAGGGCTCTGCTTCTCCACTACAAGTCCTCTTTGGTTGATTCCACTCCTGGCCTCTGGATTTCACAAGACATCATCAGCAAGTAAGTCCCCTCTTAACTTGAAACGCAGAAGCCCACAGATAGGAATGAATATAAGCTTACTGATAATGGGTGGGGGAGATCCCTTGGAAGAAGACCTTGGTCTTGGCAGGGTCGACATTGTTGTCCACCCATTTAGCCCATGTATTCAAACCTTTGTTGAATGCATCTAGCCTGTTCATGTCTTTGGATAGCGACGATCCGTCTCTGATGTAGTCCCACCTGCATTGTCACAGCCGTTAAGAGAATCTATATCTTTACATTGCAAGCAACAAATGGTGGCTGGGATTTGGACAAGCTGATATTGTTTTACCCTTGAGATTTGGCGCCGGTGTGAGTCCACCAATGCCAGGAGTTGAAGACGAGCACGTCCATCCCTTTCCATGCATTCCCTGCTCTAATGGAATCCAACGTCAGTACCCTTCCGACATTTTCTTGGATTATGTCCACCAAGTACGGCGTCCGGTACATGTACAGTGTCACCCCGTAATCCTGCAAACATATGGATTGACACGGCCAACTTCTTGCTTAGAAAATGCAAATTCTGATTGTCACCACATACACGGTCTGCTTGTTCTCAGCAGTACATCACCGGCGCAAACATCGTTTATAAAATTGTCACCGCATAACCTGGCGCTTAAGTTAAGATTGCGCAAATCACTTACCCTCCTAGCATAGTTTCAGAGGTAGTAATCGGTTCGACATGGCAACAGGTCGCCATTTGAGATAGAGATCTAGCACCACTATAGTTAAAGGTTATTTTTAACAGAAAAATGATGCAATGCCAAGACTTTTCTACTGTCACGAGAAGAACAGAAGGTTTCACTAAAAGCCAAGCAAGCAGTGCTCGATGAGACTGGTTCATGTGCGCTAATTGTTAATGCGCAACATAATCACGCCGCTGTCAACAATAATAAAAGGCGGCTTTCTCATCCAAAAACAGCTGTTTGAACAAAATAATGGGTGGATTAATTAATGTCATGAAATGAAATGAAATGTGATCAATTCCCTACTAACTAGTTGGACCTCAGTCTGTACCTCAGTGGTAGTAGGGTCTATTGCCAACTAATCTGACCAACCAAAATTTCGGTTGGTTATCAAATTAGAATGGATAACTAGCCTGTTTTCTCATGTGGGCAGGAGGAACATGAGTTGATTGAATGATTGATTTTCCATGGAAAAAGCAAACAGCAGCAGCAGCAGGCAGCCCAAGTTGGCTACGGCAAATTGAAATGAAACGCCATATGAAACTGAAAAAGCCTCTTCTGCTGCTGCCATCTTTAGGCTTTAGCTACGGGACCAAACTGGCTTGACCATTATTTATTCAAATCAAAAATGGGAAATACTTATAATCAGAATGGGGTTCAAATGAAAATCAGCGAAGATCACATGGATAAGGAAACGTTATGGAATTCTGTGAATTGGGGTTTGGATGCTTGTAGTAGAATTAGTAAAATAAAGAAAAGTGGAGGCTTCTTTGGAAGCAGGAAAAGAATACACAGAGAGAGAGAGCCGGGCCTTCTCTTCCGTGCCTTAAAAGCAGGGCCATGGCCAGGAACCGAATAAATCATTCCCAGCACCAGCAGCAGCAGCAGCAGCAGGCAGGGTCCAACAAAAAGCCAAACCACGAAACATTATGAAATACACCACCACTCCACACAGACAAATCAACACCGACGGCACGGCACGGGAGCTGTACCCATTATTTACGTATTATTATATATATATATGTTTTACTCACCCTACTTTCCCTTCCTTGTTCTTCCAATTTTCACCCCAATTTTAGTTTCGAAATAAAGCAAAACATAGAAAAGAAGATGAGCAAAGAAGGAAGCAAAATACAGAGCAGAGCAGAGCAGAGGAGAAGAGGGATTGCAGTAAAACTAACTCACCACAAAATTGACATAAGCGAGCGTCCCCCTGACGTATTTGGTCCTCGCATTAGGCAGCGAGGCATGAATCATGCAAGACAGCGATTCCCACATGTTGAGGCTCAGCGAGTCACCCACGAACATCAGCTTCTTCCCCCTCCACCTCTCCAGGAAATCCCCGCCATCGAACCTGCACTTTCCGTCCCACGTTACCACTAGACCAACCAACCCCTTGTGCGATTCAATTAAATAGTAGTAAGTAAGTAAGTGTTTCAATTTACCTGGGCAAGTTACAGGAGTCGGGCTGCCAGGAGTACTTGAGGTACTGGGTATCAGGGCGGCCGAACTTCTGGCAATCGAACTCGTCGTCCACGAAAGGGCAGGCCGCCGAGTCGTAGAGAGGGTAGGAGCTGTCGGCGACCCATCTCCCCTGGAACAAATTGCAGCCGCCGCTGGTCTGCTTCCTCCCTTTCAGCCTCGTCACATTGTACCGAACATCGTCGAGGTGGTTGTTGTTGTCGCTGATGCTGCTGTGGTGTGGTGACGAGGACTCGGCTGTGGCGAGAAACAGAGAGGAGAAGAAGAAGATGGTAATGACAATGAGGGACAAAACTGGCGCCACCTGCTGGCTTCTGTACTTTGTACCACGACGACCTGCAGCCTCCATCATCACCAATGTATTCAATAATATGGATTGGTGGGTATTGGGGAAATTGCAGGGGGGGTGGAAAATGAGGGAGCTTTTTGGGGTAATTTTAAGTAAGTAAAAAATGGAGGGGGGTTGCCCTGTCCTGTGAATGGAAGGAGGAAGGAGGGCCTCTGGTTTTCTTATATACAGAGCAGAGGGAAGAAAGGGGGTCTTTTTTTTTGTTTTGTGTAGGGACTACGTGGGTTCACATGGCATTATTGGGGAAGTGAAGACGATGGTCGTTTTCATTTTCCAGTTTATTAGTATTTCTTCCGGATTTTGGTGATAAATGTTTTTAAGAACTTTCTACTTGGGAGAGATAAGGTGTTTATGGAATTGGAGTATTTGCTAAATCAGAGTATTTGAGGAAGAAATTCATTTCATATTATGGTATTTGAATCCTCACATGATCTCCATTATAATAATAATAACATCATTAGCCCAGCATTTTACGGTTAGTGAGTATGAACAAGTTCTATAAGCCTATAGGACAAGGTGATAAATGGCACTACACAATCATTTTATGGGGAAAATGCCCAATTTCGTTAGGTTCAGCTCTTATGATGTTGGGTTCATTTTGGCACTTTTGGTGCATTTTTATTTATTATTCTCGGTAGCTAAGTGGGTTGAGGTTAGCCGTTAAAGTTTAATTTTATTGTGATACGAGTCGAGTCTATAAGTATTGCTTCTCGTGCTAAGAATCCTTGCAAATGATTTTGGTTTATCTTTCAAGTTCTTTTGATAGTGAATTGCTAGCTTTTAAGAGGTATAATATTGTATTTGGAAATTGTTTGATTTTGAGAGATACATCATCTTCTTAATTGATTTTAAGAAATGTATGCGTTATGCTTCTTGTAACTTATTGTTCCTAATTAAAATTAAAATTGGAAAAGGGGAAAAATCAGAACAAACGCATCATTCACTTTAAAGCTTTAAACTAATAGTAAAAGTGAAACTTAAAGAAAATTTCATATTTCCAAATTAACGCACTTAAAAATTAAAATTGGAATATATTCTTAAATTTAGACTAAAAATAATAATTTATAAAATCAATTCATTTCAATAATATTGTGAGCAACTAATTTTCTTAATATATTAGCTAAGTTTTCTTTCCACTGGCAAAAAATATTTCGCGTAAATGACTATCCATCTTCATCTTTCTAATCACCACGGGTCGGTGGAATTTAGAATTTCACAAATTAGATATAGAAGGTCCAGCATTTGAGCTTTTTCAATAGTCACGTTTGTGTTATCTTTATGGTGGTCAATGGTTAATCTGTTGTGGACACATCTAAATTCTTCTTATGAATTTGAATACAAGATAAATTTTATTTTTTATGTGATGTATTTCTTCTCGTAAGAAAAGTTATAGTATTCTCTTTTGAAATATTCCATCAAACGAATTCGTTCCCAGTTTTTCCTATCGACAAAAAAAGAATTATGTTCCTAAAATTTGAGAAAAACACCCAAACCAAGACACCCTAATTTTTTCGTTGGTTATTAACCTAAAAAATCGAACCAAAATTTAATGGATGTTCGCAAACCCACATTTACACTAGCTTAGATCACACCCTGGTTAGGTTTTGTTTTTATCTATATATGTTTTCCTCCATATTGCTATGTTACATAAATTACAGGGGAGCATGAGTCATGAGTTGTCGAGTTGGGGGAAAAGGGATCTTGGATGGATTCGGGTAATAGCATTATTTTTGGGACATGAAGAAAAGGATTGGAATTCTGCAACTGGCTTCACTTTTTGACATTCCTTACTACACTACACGGGTCTATTCTAAGCAATTGTCACGGGTCGGGCCTTTTCATAATCATCCACATGCCTACTGAACCAACCCAATTCACTTCATTCAATCAACTATCCTACTCACGCTTTTATTTTATAATATAATTCAGGAACATCTCTAGTCTCCACACACTGCTTGAGCAATTGCAGAGCAAGATCAAATTTGGAGGTTCACCTACCTGATCCCTTTGGGTCCTCCATTAATATTCTCATTAGCGCGGCCGAGATACATCACGAAAGGGCCCCGGGGGTCGAATTCAGGATTTCACATATCAAGAACGAGCGCCCAACAAGGATTCACCAATCGGCCATGTGACCTTTGACCTCACACTTTTCCTGATTGATAAGCCGCCTCTCGGATTATTTTCTTACGCAGACCGTCTATGGTATACACATCCATACTGTGAAAACTGTAGGTTATTCATCTTATTTATTTGAAAATGATGTTAATTTTCAGAAAAGGTACTAATATAGTGATTGCAACGAGGTGATTCCGGGCGAGTACCACTAAACCTACACCCTGTCTGGCTCTTCATGTACACGACTCACCCTGCCCCTGCCCCGTGATGGGTCAATTGATTTTGTCCCAAGCTTCGCCCAGCGTGGTGGGTAAAACCCGCACTGCCCTGTTTAGTAGGGGTGGCTATACGGTCCGGTCCGGTTAAATTGGACCAAATTGATCTGATCCCAGTCCGGTCTTTTCGGGAATATAAGGACCAAAGATTGAATTGGATACAGTCCAGTCTTGATTTGGTCCGGCCCCAATTTGATCTTGATTTTAGGTGTTGGGGGTCTCTTATCCGGTCTTTATTCGGGTTTTTTACCTCAAATCTAAGCCAGAATATGAGATTGGATTGTTTACTATCCGGTCCCAGTCCGGTCCCGGTCCGGGTGATACGATTCGATTTTGGGTAAAACCAAACAATCCCGGACCAAATAGCCAGCCATACTGTTTAGCGATGTTGAGCAACTAGTGCAGTTGTCAGAGTTGCGAGCTACCACCATCCCATCGCTCTCAACGTTGGTTCTTGTTCTCCCATTTTCCAAAACATATCAAATCAGTGGGTTAATTGAAGATACGATGATGTCGGCCAAGGAAAGGAAGGCAATATGCAACTACAAGGTTAAAAAAATTGAGTCACTACAAAAATACACATTTTTTAAACGGGGTTGGGCGACGACTATACTCATGCCCTCCCTGGTCTATATGCAGGTCGAATCAAGACCCGCCCCGTTCTAGCACAGGTCGAGTTTTACTCGCACCATTACAGGGCTGGACGGGGAATATCCATCGGAATTGGTCTGAATTGCCATCACTATACGAAGGTCATATATGTGTAAATGAAAATGTATGAAGAGTTGTAATTCTGGTCTATTTAATAATAAATACCAGCTGTTAATAATTTCAAATTTCTTTATTAAAGTCTAATTTGATGCTAATATGTACTATGTACACGCTAAATGGTTGGAGTATCATTGACACATCCTTAACTTTTTTTTTTTTTTCTTATTTAGTATATTTTAGTCGACCAAAGTTTTATTCTCCAATAAACCATTTGATTACTGTAAAAGGGTTATGATTAGTTAGGATAAGTATCAAGACTTTTTCAACCATATCAACCAATTGCGTAGTTGGGAATTATCGAAAGATCAGTGAGCCGCTGACGTACTATTAGATGGGGCATGGGGGTGTCAATTAATTAATTAGTACCCCATATGTACTAGAGGAAGGTATGTTTAACAAGGAAACAAGTGCCCCATTAGTGGTAATTGATTACTTTTTGCCAAGAGATAGAATGGTCCTTTCTTCAGTTGCGTTTACGAATTTCGATTACCTTCGACCAAACCATTTTGCTTCTTGTGAAGGTATTCTATACACGTAAATACATTTAATTTAAAGTCAACTTCGATACATAAATTCTATTCAATGAAGAAATTCCCTTTGATGAAACATTTGAACAGGATATAGTTAGGATTTTATCTAACGCGACTCCGACTGTTTATCAAATTATTGTATACGTCTATACTGTCGTTCATCACTGCAATAGTGATTTTGTGTGAGAGAAACAAAGGAGAGAAGACGTATATGCCCTTAGTCTCGTGGGATCAACTTTCAAGAACAGTAAACTAATGGCGGATCAGACCTTCAATCAACCTAGGAATATAATCTCACCATGCTCGCCAATACAGGATGGAGGATAATCACAGAGCTTGATACTTTGTGGATTCGATTGTCAAAACAATCCCTTTCTTTGTAACATGGAAATGAGCTAGTCTATTAAACTTAACTCTCCTTCGATCGCCTAGTCTCATAGTCGACCATCATAAACTTGTTTTGTCGAGACTAACATGCTCGTTTTGTTGGACGAATATCTAACTAAATTATTTTCTCCCCAACAGGAAGGTTTTGAGGATATGGTTAAGAGTGTTAGTTAGAGTTTGAGGGTTAGGTCTTGAGCATGAGACAATATAATTATGGGGAGTAAAGGTGCTCAAGGATTTGCTTTGCTCATTTCTCAAGTAATATGTGTGGGGTGTGGCTAGTGCTGACATTTTCAACTCATTTTAGATTAATCCATATATCGTCAATTCTCAATTGTGACAATAAAAAATTTATTTGGCTCGTAATTCATACTTCAATTTCCTCTAGTGACTTCCATTGCTCAGCATCTCCAACAACTCCAGACACAAACTGATTATATATCCTAAAATCATAATCAGACATATTTGAAAAAAAAAAAATCATAATGATGGATTTTGTTTGATAAACTGATATTATATCAGAGATTTTTATAGGATATCTTCGAAGTAACATATTGTTTCCGCATATTAAAATACAACTAACCCTATAAAAATAAACGAGAATTCACACTGAAATATAAATGCCAAAGATTTTGTCGAATACAGTTTTGGGCTAATACCACTACAACACCCGAACTATGACGAAAATGCCACTTGTGTCCTATTGTTTTCAATATTCCATTTGTGTCCTGAACTATTATAGTTTGTGTCATTTGTATCCTGCCAATTTCAATATTTCATTGACCGTTAAAGATAACAGTTGACCAAACGGAGGTCAACTTAACATTGACTTTTGCTGACGTGGCAATGCCAAGTCATTGACACCTCACATTTTTAATTTAAATTAAATAAAACTTTGAAAATTAAAAATTGAAAAAAAAATTAAATTAAAGAATATTACTAAATAATATTCTAAAACCCAAAATTCAAAAAGAAAAATCTCAATTGATTTGGCCGATCGTCTCCCTCCTCTCTGCGACGGATTTGAGGACGAGCAGGGCTGGGTCCTTGAGGGAGAGGGCGGCGGCGGATTCGGCCTCGACGAGGGCGTGTTTTGCTAGGGATTGGGACTGGGAGAAGTTCTTTGTGGCGGCGAATCTGGGTCGGGCGAGGGGAGCTGGGGAACAGGAATTCTTTGCGCCTCCATCGGATTTTCGTTCCGACTACCGCTGAAATCGATCTCTAT